GGTTAGGGTTTCGCTTGAAACTACCGGCAACTCTCTTTGTCGTCTCAGCGGCTTCCGGTTTTCGATTTCCCCTCGATCCAGACTTCCTGGCTGTCGACAAACGTTCCCCAAACACTTTAATTACATTTGTAACGGTTGATTTGGCAACTTTTAGCGATTTTGCCAACTTTGCGTGCGAGTAGCTCGGATTTTCGCGATGCGCGAGCAAAATTTTGATACGCTGCTCTTCTTGCTTGGACGGCATTTTGACAACTGAAGAGTGAATTCCAAAATCAAAATAGGAGCAACATTCTTCACACACACACCTTCAAAATGAGGGGTGTTCAGGTTTTTTAAATGCAAAATTGAAAGAAATACGTCAAGTTGATATTGACCAAATTTTGACCGTATCACCCTTTAACTTATTCTGAGGGAGATGTTCCAATAGGTGATCACTTTTCATCATTGAAATTAAGGTTCAATTTACCCAAGTAGTTCTGAAATAGTGACAATATCTTGCCCATACAATATAATAATATTATTTCAGTTTTAGCAATTCATCCACCTCATCCTTGAAAGATTTGATCGAAGATAAACGGTGAAAAGGGGACAGATCGTTCTTCGTAGAAAAAGCAGTGTGCTGCACGTAGATGTATCTGCTTAATGGTCCACCCCTTCATTTTTGACCCTTCATACAGCGATATAAATAAGAAATGCTCTTCCCCGGAAGCTACACCTAAGATGTCAGCCCCATCACGGCGGATAGGAGACCTTAAGCCAACCAACTACTGTCTCTGAAACCTTTACAATTGTTACAGAAACCAACAGGGAAAGACATCGAACTGATATAACGGCAACGACTTTTAGCGCAAAACAAAGGACACGAATTGGATCATGGAATGTATTGACGTTAGCCTAGCAGGGTAAACTGGCACAACTCGCCAACGAGGCGTGACGCATGAAGCTAGAAATCCTGGGACTGAGTGAAGTTCGTTGGCCAAACTTTGGAGAACACAAACTGCCGTCGGGACAGGTAGTACTATACTCTGGTATTCGAGGTGAAAACGCTCCCCACCATCGTGGAGTTGGTCTCCTACTTAGCGTCCAGGCAAGTGCTGCGCTCATCAAGTGGGAGCCTGTTAATGAGATGATAATCGTTGCCAGATTTAGAACACGGATTCGTAACCTTACCATAATCCAATATTATGCGCCAACCGATGCTGCCGAGCTACAGGACAAGGAGAATTTTTACAGTCAACTGAATGCCGTCGTGGATAAGGTTCCAAAGGGTGACATCAAGATCTACACTGGCGACTTCAATGCGAAGATCGGCTCCGACAACACGGACTATGAGTGTGTCATGGGACGCCATGGTCTCGGCGAAATGAGCGAGAACGGTGAACTGTTTGCAGAACTCGCTCTTCCCCCATTGGCCAGTGCACAAAGTCACTTGGGTTTCCCGTGATGGACATACCGAAAATCAGATCGACCACATCTGCATCAGCCGAAAATGGAGACGGAGCCTTCTTGATGTTAGGAATTAACGCAACCATCACCTTCTAATCGGTGAAATCCGCCTATGCATGGCGCGAATCCAGCGACGGGAGGAGAGACTCGGGCGGCGGTTCAACACACGCCGACTTGAAGATCCAGCGGTAAAAAGGTCTTTTGTTGAAGAACTTGAGACTCGAGCTGCGGACGTTCCAGAAGGTGGCAGCGTAGAAGAAAAATGGACGGCCATCAAGAATGCCTTTATAGAAACAAGCGAGAACGACTTGGGTGAGCTGCGCACCCAGAGGAAAGAGTGGATCACAGATGAAACCTGGCGGAAGATTGAGGAGCGTATAGAAGCAAAAGCCGCGATAGAGCGGGTGAGAACCAGAGGAGCCAAGAACGAAGCCCGTCAACGATACTCGGCTCTAGAGAAGGAAGTCAAGCGCTCCGGCAGACGGGACAAGCAAGCGTGGGTGAACTCCCTGGTCGACGAAGGGGAGAAAGCCGCAAACACTGGCGATATACGCCTCCTCTACGATATCTCACGACGCCTGAGTGGAGCAAGGATGAACCCGAGGATGCCAGTGAAGGACACGACTGGACAATTGCTTACCGACCCCACTGACCAGCTGAAACGCTGGTTTGAGCACTTCGAACAACTTCTTCAAGTTTCGACGGCCAACCAGCCATCAACATCTCGGCATGATCCACCTAGGGTGCGGCGCATCACTCGCGGCAACTCCGAGGTCCCATCACTGCAGGAGATTGAAGCAGCTATCCGAAGTATGAAATCCAAAAACGCTCCAGGGGTCGATCGCATATCAGCAGAGATGCTCAAAGCTGACCCCATGCTATCCGCACAAATGTTGCATCAACTATTCTGTAATATCTGGGACACCGCGACTTTTCCGGTCGACTGGATGCAGGGCATCTTAGTGAAGGTCCCAAAGAAGGGGGATCTGACTGTGTGCGACAATTGGCGAGGCATCATGTTACTGTGTATTGTTCTCAAAGTTCTGTGCAAAGTTATCCTGAATCGGATACAGGAGAAGATCTACGCGACTCTCCGACGGCAGCAGGCAGGATTCCGTGCCGGAAGATCTTGTGTGGACCATATTGTCACGCTCCGCATCATCCTGGAGCAGGTCAATGAATTGCAAGAGTCCCTTTATTTGGTATTCATTGACTACGAAAAAGCTTTCGACCGTCTCAATCACGAGAATCTGTGGGGCACCCTGAGACGCAAGGGAATCCCTGATAAGATCGTCAACCTCATCGAAGCGCAGTATGAGGCTACGTGCAAAGTTCTGCATAACGGAGCCTTGTCCGACCCTATCCGGGTAGTCGTTGGTGTGAGACAAGGATGTATACTATCACCGCTACTGTTTCTCATCGTAATCGACGAGATCATGGTAGGTGCAGTTGACCGTGTACCGAACCGTGGGCTGCTTTGGCAGCCTATCACCATGGAGCATCTCAACGACTTCTATTTGGCTGATGATGTTGCTCTACTAGCCAAACGGCGCTCTGATATGCAGAGTAAGCTCAATGACCTGGCCGAACGCTCCTCTGCGGCGGGTCTCACCATCAACGCCAACAAGACCAAATCGTTGGATATCAACACGGGCAACCCTTCCAACTTTACGGTAGCGAGGCAAGCAGTGGAGAAGGTCGAAAGTTTCCAATATCTTGGCAGCCAAATAACGTCGGACGGCGGGACCAAGAGCGACATAGGTACACGAATCAAGAAGGCTAGGGCTACCTTTGCGAGTTTACGAAACGTATGGAGATCCAACCAGATAAGTCAACGCACCAAAATCCGAATTTTCAACTCGAGCGTGAAATCTGTGTTGTTATACGCCAGCGATACGTGGTGTGTATCAGCGGAGAACACTCAAAAGCTGCACGTCTTCATCAACCGATGAATGCGGTATATAATTCGTGCTTGGTAGCCTCACAACTGGATCTCGAATGCCGAGCTCCATCGTCGATGTCATCAGAAGCCGATAGCAACAGAAATTCGAGAGCGAAAGTGGAGGTGGGTCGGCCACATACTTCGACGGGGCGGAAACGAAATCTGCAAGCAAGCGCTGGCAGCCGCCCAGGATGGAAGTCTTTCACGTTGGCCCTTTGCACCGCTGGTGGTGCACAGGACCCTTAAGTCAGTAAGTAAATTCCAAGAGCTAGTTGAATTTGAGAAGCAAACGAAACATATAAAGGTGATTGAATTTCTGTTCGATTGCGATACTCTCAAATATAATCTTGTAAGATTAAGAAATCTTCGGACAAATTCCAATGGGAATGTTCGATTGGCTCAGATTTTGACAGTTTATTTGGCTCAAAACATTCTCTTCGCCCATCTCTCCCTTTGAGTATTTCTAGTGGCTACGTCAAATTCAATCACCTTTACGTTTCGTGTGCTTCTCAAATTCAACTAGCTTTTGGAATCAAAAACAATATTCTAACTCTATCGATTAATTGATCTTAGTTGGATAATTAATGGCACCAAGAAATGTGCAAAATATTGCAATGCAATTAATTATTATTTTGCACGTAAATCGAATCAAAAATAAAAGTCATGTGAAATGCTGGCTTCTAGCAAGGGTTGCAAGATAATTTAGGTACAAATCCCTGCTGCCAAATCGTATTTTGTTTTCTCCGCCTATCTCTAACTCTGGGTATTTCTAGTGGCTACCTTACATACATAAATACATACAATCTGTCCTAATCCCATTTTCCCCCTGCAGCTTTACCCTTACAGCTTTTGATCACTGTTTCAATTGGTGTCTCCAATGATGTAGCACCCTCGCGTCCCAGTATCCAGCTCTACGGAGAGTAGGTTAACTCATACGCTACTTAAATGAAGCTTTCAATTGAAAGGTCTTTTGAAGGCCTTTCTAATATTAAACCCCCTGATGTAAGCCAGTCAAAGCTTCGAGTTCTCCTATTCCGAAAGCTTCCTTCATCCATCCGAAAGCTTCGCTACACCGCTCTATGAGCTATGCGAGCTTTCGATGGTAACGGTGTAACCTCCCACGCATACCACCAACCGTTGCCACCGTTGCAGCGGGATCGTGCACGTACACTTTCAGCAAGCATTGAAAACAAAACTACGAAGGCTAGAGCACTCTCCCGCTCACCATCCAGGCTAGTTGTTTGTAGTGGTGCGCCTAAGAGAAGCTATCCCCTTTGGGACTCTTTCCTAGCAACATTGCATCCTGCTTCGCGTGATGGTGAGCGTTTGTGGGAGTGAGAATCTTCGGACTGTAGGAAAGCCAGCAAATTTTCTCACCCAGCACCAGTCAGTGAGTGGGTGACAGCAGTGTGGATCAGAAGCCAAGCGAAACATTCCGAGGTACCAGCCGATACCTACCTACCTAGTCCGTGTCGAGAAATCTGAGAAAGAAGTGGCCGTTTTTTCCTTCTTTCTGTTTTCTGTGTTGGGCCTGGCTGGAAGAAAAAGGAAAATTTTCATCAACTTTTCACCGTGGCCAATCGAGAAGTGGGACGACATTTAAGAAAGCAAGCGAACCGGAGGAACATAGACCTGGTGCTCCTTGTCGTGGGAAATCGTGCGTGTGTTCTTGGCTCTTCGTCGTCCGTAATTTTAGGAGTTTCTTCGAGTGAAAGTAAGGATAAAGTTCCGTTTTTTCTTTATTCTTTAGAAATATTTTGCTAGGTTGGAAAGGCTCAGTTCCATGGTGGTGCTGCCCGTTCGGGAAAGGAATTAACGAGCAAGTGTATCTTTAATTTAATTATCTAATCGTACGGGCGTGTGTGTGAGTTGAGGTTCGATCTTTGCTGCCGTGCAGCGAAATTGCAGAAGGATAAATCGAAGTTTGTCAAGGTTTTTCCATGCAACGGTGTGTTTGAAAGCAGGGGTAAAGAAAAAGGTTGCACCGAAGAAAAAGGATACAGTGATCATGTTACGAAACCATCGATGAACCAGAGGAAAATGGGACGAGTGGAAAATCAATCGCTGGTCGGTGGTCGGTGGTGATCTAGAGGGTAATACACAGATACATGGATTTCAATGCGAACTGAACCTTCACAAGAAGACTGGCAGCAATGTAACATCGCCTTAAAAATGCATCCCTTGGTTAATTTTCCATGTAACGTAAGTTTGTCGGTCAGTCAGTCGATGTGAAATCCTGCAGTTGCTCTCGTGAAAAATCTTCTCCTTTCCGAGTGTTGGGCATTGTATTACACTCCCCCACAAACAAACCATTATTAGTACTGTGAAGGATCACTTGGCCATGGGGAAAAGCTCTGGCCATGTGGTCAACATCGGAGAGAGAAATTTCCCAAATACTCACCAAAAAGCGAGAGAGGGGGTGGAGGAGGAAGGATACCGACCGAAGAGCACGTGATTTGTCGGTGTAGGTGCGAAGCATGTGCTCTCAGTCAAATGCTGTGTTTCCATGGTTGAGTGCATGTGTGTGTGTGTGTGTTTAAGTATGACTTTTCACAGTGAGAGAGGAAATCAGAAGAAAAATTACAGATGTAAAATCCGATTGAGCGAATGTGGGTGAGAGTTTTCCACATCGTGTTTTTGTAATAGCACCTCCTTGTACGCTGTTACATCAGCTATGGTTGTGTGTATCGCTATTTAGATGACAGTTTCGTTTTTTTTTGTAATAATATTCATCCCGTTTGAAGGTTCTAGTTCAAGGATGGCAAGTGAACGGTTTTCTTGTTAGTTGAGAATTATAACAATGCTCTCCATAAATATTTAAACACATGTTTTTAATCTGAACGAATGACATGGAACGGTAATGGTCATAGACATGCAACCAATCAAATTTATTTGTTTGTGGCAGTCTGCTATAAGTAAGTAAACATTGTTCCACTGAGTTCACTAATTTAATACATATGAATTATATGCACGTTTCAATTAAGCAGCCAACGTTGGATTGGAAATGAACCAGCTAAAAATACAAAAATCAACAAAACTACAAAACAATGTAATCTTTTTAAATTACTAAACAAACGAGTTGAAGCGACAATAAGTTATCACGAAGACTGGTCACTCAAACAAATGCTATAAGGTAAACACAATCGTGTCATCTATCGTTCAAAAGTTAAAGCTTCGAATGCAAAGACACCAAGCACAGGTTCGAATAAGGTGGGTGTTCTAGTTGTGGCTATACGTTCCTCATATGGTGTGTTCCAATTATGAGAATTCCATAGGCCATAATTTGAATACACCATAAAAGGAACGTATAGCCATGACTGGTACCTCTACCCTATATCCATTTTTATTAAACAGTGATTCCACCTTTGCTCGAGCGCAGTGCTCCTGTATTTTTCCCTTAATTTCTGAGCGTGTTCCCGTATCAAAAATAACCACAAAGGTGCAATGAAATTAATTGTAACCATGCAATAGAATGTATTGTATTTATAATAAATCGTACTGTCCACAATCCATAGAATTTATGAATTCCAAAATATAATTTAGGGTAAATGCGCCTTTTTAATAGAAACCAAGCGATCGATTCAACCTCTGGTGATGAATAGGAGAACGTCAAAAAGAGTTTTGTGAGCAGAAATTTCTGCCGTGAGACATAGGAAGGGGAACACTTTTTCACTTTTCCTGATAAATTGATTCATCAGAGATGCTCCTAAACTTGATCTACAGTTGACAAATTTAACTCTGTATCGGTTATGCAAGGATCCTGCTCGTGTTCAAGACTATTTTTGTTGAGAAAAATTTTAAATTGGAATAGTGCCATAACCACATCTTCCGGATTTCTTGTGTGTACATAATTTGAGTGCCTTATAGTGCAGATCAGTAGAAAATCATACAATAATACAATTACCGATGGAAATTGGCCAGATGTTGAATGAAAAATGCTTTAATTTGCGTTGTGAAAAATTCTTATTCTGATGTTAACAAACGGTTTGGTTGACGTTTCCTCTACAACTCGTGGGGCGCACTCTACGTTGGTGGTGCATTAAAAATGGTCTATGGGGAGCTCTACAATAGAACAAGGGGATTGTTAAGTAGCTTACCCAGGTGTTGGTGTTTTTACCCGTGAAATAGAAAACACATCTCTGATTTTGACCCCAGATATTTCGAAAATGTCTCCTACTCCTAACCAACTCTGACCCGATTAACCGTAGAAAAATCACTTTTTTCCAATAAACTTAAGCCATTTACAAATAAGGCCCGAACAAATTAATCATATCGTCTGACCATTTTACACAGAGATGGCGCTGTTCCGCTGGTAGGAAGTGATAAAAATCTCCATTTAGAAATTTAGAAGTGGGAGTAATTGGCTTTCGGTGCATATTCAGGTTAAAACAAGTGAACGACAACCTAAATAAATTAGTCCGAGACTTTGTCGTTCAGTTTTTCCCGGAAATTATTGTTAAACAAGCTACAATTGAATAAAAATAATTGTTCCATATACAGTTTTACCTTCTTTACTACCACTCCCTAGAAGGCCAAAAAACTCAAATTTGAGAGAGAAATTTTGCTCTGACGACCACACTCTCTCAACATGCCATGTATTTTAATTACACTCGATTTGTGATTTTCCCTTTCACAGATTACAAAATAGAGTACCTGACACTACAAAACATGTCTGGTACCCCTATATATGAATTTAGATTAACATTCGAAGCCCCTCCTTTTTTACATGTTCTGCATAAAAGATACTTTCTGCTCCGCCCCGTTCATAAAAATCGGCGTTAAATTCTGTGAGGGGTGAGCTACTTTGTGTGCAGAATGTGTAAAAAAGGAGGTACTTCGAATATTAATCTGCATTTAAATGCATATATAGAGGTACCAGACATGGTTTGCACTGCAGTGTCCTCTGTGAACAATTAACGGAAAACAGATTGTGTGTAGTTTCCGATAGATGTCACCGCAAACAACAAAAACAGATTCTGAGTTTATTTTCCTTCAGATATCGCTGCTGTTCTTAATGATGATATCGATCGGAAATTACGCTTACACTTAGTTCCGTTAATTGTTAACAGAGGGCAGTGCAGTCATAACATGCATGGTACTTCTATATATGCAGTTAGATTAACATCTTGAGTCTCTCCTTTTTTACATATTCTACGACAAAAATACTTGCCAAGCTCCACCCCTAGATGGGAGATCCAATTGCATAAATGAGGGTTCCAACGTTTGTTCAGGGCTAGGTCCTATATCTTGTAGTCTGTGAAAGAGAAATCACATATTGTGTGGCATTAATATACAGGCATGTTGATAGATTGAGCTCGTGAGTGGGAATTTTTACTCTTGGACTTGATTTTTTTGGTTCTCCTGGGACTGGGAGTAGATCGGATTAAAATGTATGGGAAAATACTGATTTTATTTAATTGTAGGTTGTTGAACAATGATATCCGGGGAAAATTGTAACGACTTAGTCCTTGACTGATTTTTTTAGCTTGCCGTTCACCTATTTTTCCTTGAATATCCATCGAAAGTGAATTGAAGGGGTTAATAGGATAGGGCTGTAAGTGACTTTGATCGATTCTCTTCATCGACTTTCTTTTTCTTTCGTTAATAATTCAGCTGCAAACACATTCCTTACTTCGTGTGCCATTCTGAATGCTAGATGAGAACCTCCTTTATTAAAGTATGTGGCAGAAATAGTGCAAAATCTGTTTATAAAGCTGTGGCTATCAGAAGAGAAAGTCGACGAAGAGAATCGATCAAAGTCACATACACCCCTTTCCTTCTAACTCTCTAAATTATACCCACTTTTCTCAATTCCTAGATGGGGATTTCAATTAGGGGAAATGACGGCTTCGGCATGCCAGACTATTTTCGGCAACCCAAATTGAAACACTATTTTCACTGGATTTTCTTACGAAAACACTTCGCTGAATGCATGCAAACGATTCTTTATGCTTTCAGCTTCAATTTGACTATATTTTTACCACTAAGAAAAAGCTATCTAGCAAGGTTTTCTTGAAATGAAACACACGCACTACAAATTGTAGCTTATTTCGAGTTGCCGATAATAGAACAGCAGATTTACATGCAGTTCAAGTGGAACGGTTGCCGAAGAAAAACTGGTTGCCGACAATACTCGCTCTCACTAGAGAAGATTGGAGCTTTGTAAAAGCGTTTCAAAACAGTTTTTGGCAATTCTTTCGACTGAAATTGTTAAGTGGACCCTACACGATTACTTTTATTGACAATAATCGTATTGTCAATACATTCTATATTGACGTCAATATATCGAGATTGACAATATTTCTGAATTCACATTATCAATATTATTGTCAATAATTCCCCTTCACGTCAATATATTGATGCGTGTGGGGTTTGCTTTAGAACAGCTGGCAGCAAAAGATTGTAAACAAACCAATACTGCATATGTGTGCGTTCCTTAGAGAAAAAGGCTATAGAAAGAAGGTTGCTGCTTAGGTTGCCGAGAATACGTAAATTCCCCTACTTCCAACCAACGGAACAGCGCGATCTCTATGGAAAATGGCCTGACGATATGATTCATTACTTTTGTCCAAACACCGCGCGCCGTGCAAAAATATTCCTCCCCGTGCAAAGCAAACACGCACATGGTTTCGGTACCTCTTCAAAAACAAATAATAACGCTCTGGGATTGCATACAATTGAGTTGACGTCTTTACAGAAGTATTTTGGATTACC